GGAGGCGCAAACGCTTAATCAAAGCGCTCTATTTACCTCTTGACATGATCTGATCATAATTTACATGAGTAGGGGTATTTGGTATCGGTTGTACCAAAGCAGCATGAATGTCGTTGACATTTTTTGAACCACCTTCACGATTGTCGTCCAATGGGTTTGATTTTCGTTTTCTATCGAGTTTCATCCCCAGGTTTGGGGAGTTAGAAAGGCTCAAAGTCAAGTCCAGTTTTTCAGAAGCTGAATTGACATGACTGTGGGTATCAAAATGAGCAGGTTGGGCGGCATGGGTGGCTATGAGATCTTGGGTAGCGTGAGTGGATTTGTCGGCCAGGGTGGCTCCAAAGTTTAAGTTGAACTGGGGACTCAAACCGTCATAGGCAGCCTTGATCTTTGAAGCGACTTCGTTGACTAGAGCGTTTTGCTGACTTTTTGCTTCGCTGGCTTTTATGAAATCGCGGTTAGCTTTCGACTCGTCGTCGTATAGGGCAGCTAGGGTGGCTTGAATGACCCAATAAATATCTCCTTTTCTGACATTGTAGGCATCGTTGGCGTGTCGTATGGATGGTTTGGCCATGTTTGTATGGTACATTGAGGCGGCGAGATATCCCAGAAAGTTTTCGAGAGTCACATCATTAGGAACATCATTAGGATCATAATTGACATAATTATCAATTTTGGTTCGTATCTCTTTGAGTTCTTTGCTGGCGCGTTGACAATCGCGGGAGGCTTGTTCGTAACTAGCAATAGAGTCGTAGAAATTCTTTTGGAGAAATTTAAATTGTTATCCGTGTTCTCCGTCAATTACACTCTTGATCAAGCCATCAACACTTGATATCTTTAACCGAAAATCTGTCTCCGACACAGCTTTTCTTGTACCTTTCAGTACTTCAGCTGGATTGACGCGCTCTTCTTCAGCCACTGGGGTTTTCAAACGATCTTCACCCCCTTTAAGAAATCTTCTGGGCAACGTCTTTGCGTCAGAACCATCGGCCGGCAACTTGTTATGGTATTGCGTTATTACAGACTTAATCTGAACAGATTCAGCAGCTGTGCAGGTGCTACTTGCGATCAGGAAAGCAGTGGCCACGTAAAATGCACCTCGCATGAGTTTTTATAAATCTTGACTATGATTTATGCAGTGCATTAAACAGTTGGTTGATTGGTTCACATTAAAGCTACTAAACGCATTGTTGATTGGTTAATATCATTGTTCAGATTCCATAAGATCACATGACTAATTGGTTCAAATCAAAGCTTTGAAAAACAATGATAAGTGGACATTAATTAGTAGCCCTTATGATTTTGCATTGTCCCATTGATTGGCGAATATTACGTGGGAAGAGTTGTTTCAATTTTAATTTTTTCTCAAATATGTGAAGAAAACGTAATTAAACTTTCGATAGTTCGAGCACAAATTTTGTAATTGCACGCATTCTTGATATTAAATTTTTGTTCCCGAAAAGTCACATCGGTGACTCGTGCATAACATATTTGGCTTAGTCAAGAAAAATGTGTATCATCCACGCCGACAGTGTCGACCAACTTACAGATATGGACGTTACCAGACAAAAATAATACAGAGATAAATCAACGCTTCAAACTACTGCAATTTCAGTTTGCTGCACGTTTGAAGCAAGGCATATAATCATCTGACGGAACTTGAACCTATGTACAGTGTAGATAGTTATTTCAGTTTGTAAATACGAATGATCACTGTGTGTTGTCCGTTCGTCTTGCAAAGATGCACTGCTTAGTTAGCACTAGTCGATAATAAATTCGATCAGTCTTTACAAGTCAGCAGTACTTCCAACCTATCAATTTAAATTCATCCCATCTGAACTGTGTTCGTCATATACTGAGCCGATAACGACGTAATGAATCGCTCATCACACTGGTTGACATTAAAATTTTGTACATGGTCATCACGATGAAAGTTGTACTCAAGAGATGGGGTTGAACGCAGCTTTTATTGCAAAATCACTCAAATTTGATAAAAAGTTCACATGATTGCACTGCTGATGTTCAGCGCCGGCATTTGTATGCTTTATACAATACAAGCACGCTGACAATTAGAACTTAAGAATGCACGAAAGGCTCGATACTGAGGCTAAAGGAGCCGCTGAAGTTGTCGTAACTGTTATTACCGAACTAAAAGCTCAAGTCCTAAAAATCACTCTTGCGGCTCAAAAACGCAAGGTTGCTGAAGCCGGTACAAAACCTAACTTCAGCTTAGTGAATTTCAGAGCCACACCCACTATCTCATAGCCGCCCATGCCGTCCGTCCTACTCAGTTTGATACCCACAGTCATGATATTCCAGCTCCTGAAAAGCAGGACTTGACTTTGAGCCTTTCTAACTCCCCAAACCTGGGGATGAACCTCAAAGAAAAAGGACAATTAGACCCATTGGACGACACTCGTGAAGGAGTTACAAAAATCGTCAATCACACTGCTTTCGCGCAACCTGTAAGACTTACCCCTCCTCATATAAACTATGATCAGATCACGTCGAAAGGTAAATAGAACGCTTTGACAAAGCGTTTGCGCCTCCCCGCTTCAAGATACCTTGTGGTATAGATCTGGTATTCTTTGGTCAGAACGAGGCAGGCTTTATAGAACGTATGTATTGTTTCAGCTTGTTAGCAAGCCTAATGTCCCTGTATTCTAAGTCTTATATTACCGTCGTAGCTCACAACACTGATTTGCTTGTACAACAAAAGTTTGAGGGTCAAAATAGCCAATCAATATATTTACTATAGACAAGCCAATAAAACGTGAAATGCAGTGATTTCTGATATCGACCTATTGTTACCAGGAAATGAATAAACAGACTGCTAATGCACAAACTTTCAAATTTATCATAGTGATGTGATAGCATAGCTCAAAATTTTTGATTTGTTGTCGAAGCGCAGGTACTGCATGCGTCACTGGGCCCATCGACTATATGTCGAATGTTTTTGGATGCCTTGTGTTTTCTGGCGGCCATTTTAAAATACGCCACAAGATTTTATTTATTTGATTTTTTTAAGCTCGACATTTCATCCATTCATGTCCTCTAGATTTATGTGCAAGATTTTCCATAATATTGATGTGTTGTACGTTCATGAGTTCCCTGCACAAACTTTAAATCATCGAGCTGCATGCACTCTGGAGCAATATAGAGCTGCATTCATTCTGGCCAAAGAACGCGAGTAAGACCTTAAGAATAACAAGATCCCCTTGCTTACTATCTCTTTTGTCGCATTTACGTCGTTTTACCAGACCAAGCATTCAAAACGGAGGTTTACGTCAACCTGTTAAATTCTGTGTAAAAATGTGAGAGGGAGCTGTTTATCATGTATGCATTTGGAAACACTATATTAGAATCTTCTTTAATACATGCTCACAATGCATACAGAAATTACATGGATGTACGGTAATGTAATGGCTAAGTGGAGCCCATTACATCATCCCCTCCTTGAAGTCATAAGTACTTTGATACTCTTGCAGACCGTTTCGTTTTTGATTAACTAAGACTCAATCACGCGAACTAGCCAATATTGCATAGCGTACATCGTCCAAACGGCAAAAACTGGTTCCAGAACTTCTTGACGTTTCCTTCAGTCTCAAACGGGATGGAGACCAGAGCTTCTACATGAAACATATTTTTCGTTGGCGTCGGATCAACAATCGTGATGATCCATCGCAGCTAAGCTGGACTCTTGGTGGACATTTGTTCGCCTTGAGAGCGAGAACAAGATGGAGCGTCTACTTTGCCGGGTCAGCACTGAGAGTAATATTAATAACGACCGAGCACAACTAAGCTCTAGTCGTCGTAGTGTTGCCTCTAGAAGCAATACCAGCAACCTCGTGCTGCCGACCACGTTGGAGAAATTAGGCTCTAGGGCCTAATAAGGTTCCCAAGTGTCCTAGCCCGATGCAAAGCCCCGCTACAGAATTATACAAGCGATGATGGATCAACCGCTACTTTCAGATACGATGAGTCAATCGATCGTAGTGATCGACAGTATTCAACTTCGCTCTCCACGAGAGGCTAAAAGCGTAGAAAGGATTGAACGTAAAAACGATTGAGCGATTCCGGAAGTTAAAGAACTCTCATCACAGGCAAATGGAGGCATTGCAGCAGCGTTGCTCGATGTTTGAAGATCGCTGGGGAGCTTTTTGAACCTTGTTGCAGAGCATATCTCGAAACTCAATGATGATTCCACACAAGCTCGGTTTTGGAGCGCCGTTTTGAGTTACGGTTTGAACAAGTTCAAGATGAACTTGTTCGACTACGGAAGAACGAGAAATTTCGTCAGTTGGTCCACAAACACCTGTTGCGCTCTGTTCTCGCGATACATCGTGGTGACAACCATTCTCGCCTACAAGCGTTGGAATGACTAAATGAGTAATCCTTCGATGCCTCTCAACGCTTGTACGTCGAGAAAAACACCAAGGTAACGAGCTGGTTGATCTTCGTGGACAAATGGAGAAACTTCAATATCAGCTCGATCATATACCAAATGTATAGTAGTATCGGCAGATCCACACATGACACGACTTAAGACTATCATCAGAAAATTTGGGGTGCAGTCGCACCATTACCTTGAATCGTCCAATGAATCCAATTAAAACCTTTCTGCTTCCACAGTTTGACATTGCCTATTCAGGCAGATTAGTCGTGCAAAGTAATACAAAATCGCTGACCTCATAAACCTTCTTGTTCTCTCTTCAGCTCTTATCTGCATGTTCATTTTGCAGATCCGGAGTTTTCGCAATTGCTTCTCGAACAAACCAAACAACGGCTTATCTCTTCACAATAGAATCATCGACGTGGTGTTGCTCACGACTTTTCATGTCGTCAGGAGGTCTTATCAAGTCAAAATCGCTTAAATTTCTGTGATAGTATTTACGTCTGACTGTAGCTCCGTAGCATTGTTCCTCCCCCTGTGACGTGGTCGCCAACTGCTTGCCATAAAGCAGAAGACGATCACGCCAAATTTTA